TCCGTGTCGTGTCCGTGTGTCGTCCCCCCCGCTGCACCCCAGGATCCCCCAAGGGCCCCTGTGTAGAGCACCTCGCGACCCCCCATTTGGGACACCCCGAGAACCCATAAAGTGTGTCCCAAGACCCACTTGGAACATCCTGAGAAGCCTTATCTGGGACACCCCCCCACACCCAGGACACCCCAAACTTCCCCCCTACCTGGGACACCCCAAGACCCCATTGAGGGCACCCAAAGACCCCTCCTATCTCGGGCACCCCAAAACTGCCCTCATCCAGGGCACCCCAGGCCACCCTGCCCCTCGTCGTGTGCACCCCACGTCCCCCATCCAGGGCACTCCGAACACCCACGTGCCACCACAGCCCCACAGCGCAGGGCCCCGCTCCCCTCGTTACAGAGAAACTCCAGTAATGATGAAAACCTGTGGCCACAGCACCGACGGTGTGTTGACAGGTCTCGAGGGGGGCTGCTGCCCGTGGGTCCCCATGGGTGCCACTCTCTGCGGGTGCCACTTGCCCATGGGTACACTGTCCGGCCACTCTCTGTGGGTGCCCCTCTCTGTAGATCCCTGCTGCCCGTGGCTCTCAACCGCCCATGGGTCCCCACTGCCCGTGGGTGCTGCTGCCTGCGAGTCCCTGCTGTCCCCACACACCCACGGTGGCCCGGCCAGCCCCGCATAGCCATGACAAAGCCCGGGCGACTGACTGGCCACCATGCGGAGGTGGCTGCTGGTGGGTGCAGCTGGGGACAGGGTGACAAGAGGACGCCTGAGCATGAGGGTGAGAGATGGGGGACAGCGAGCAGCACCGCCTCGCCAGGAGCAGGAGCGCCCATGGGGACAAGGAGATGGGCAGACCCACAGGAGGGTCACCCAGCCTGGCTGGGGACAAACCCAGGGGTCGGGAGGAGGCAGATGTCCCCATCAGTTCCTGCTCCTGCCCCAAGCACCCAGTCTGGCACCCGCTTTTTTCCCAGCTGGCTTCGCCGAGCCTCAGCAGCCCCGCCACGCTGTCCCGGGGACGCCAAAGCCATCCCAGGGGGATGCCATCTCCTCCTGGGACCCAGCACGCTCCGGCAGACCACCGCAACGCGGCAAGCGGGGCAATGAAGACATCGTCCATCCATCCTCTTCCCCTTCCCCGCCCTCCCCCCCCCCAAAAAAATGAGCACATTCTGCAACAGGGAACACACAAAGACATTTTCTGAAGAAAAAATAATGAATGCCTAATTGCCCAAGGGCTGTCAGCGGCATGTGGCTCATTAACAAACCACGTAGGCGGGTTCGCGCCATGTGCAGCCGTGTAGACACAGACCGGAGCTCCATTAATAGCCGAACTCTCAGCCGGGGAGAAAACAGGCACCCGGGCAGCCTTTGGGGAGTTACCACCCCCCAAAAATGCTCGACGGCATTTTTTTTCAGCCGCCTCGAAAGCCCTGACCCAGCTGGGGAGAGTGGCAGCAGCAAGACGCGGTGGCCAACGGTGCCGCGGCCACTTTCTGCCGGGTGATGGCACGCAGGGATGCAGCGAGGCCCCGGGGTACGCTTTCCCCATCACCCCATCCCCACCTTGTGCCAGGAGGGTCCGTGCCTCCCGGCACATGGGTGGCAGAGGGGAACCACTGCCAAAAAGCAAATCACCGGCAAACGGATGGACTGGCAGACGGACAACCCAGAGTCAGAGAAGCGTGGCCGGTCCCGAGGACGCTTGGGATGGTCGCCAAGAGGCTGCAGGCAGCGAGACACTGAAGGCAGCACATCGAGTTCATATATAGTAAAAAGTCTTTATTAAGAAGGCTTTGAAGTCAAAAAATAAAACTCTTGATACAATTTTCATAACCGTCAAGTCAGCTCAGCAAATATATAATCAGTACTTTAGCCATGTAAGGTTAAAGGTCCGTTATTTTTCTTTTTAAAATAAAATATATTTTAGTTTTTAAAATTTATTCAATAAAGTACATATTTTCCTATAAATTCCCTACATATACATAAAGAGGTAAAAAATAAAAAAATAAAACTAAAAAAAAAAAACCCAAAACAAAACCAAAACAACCCAACAAAACCAACCACAAAATAAAAAGGAGATAGAAATCTGGCTGTTTTTTGTGACATGGCGTGTTAACTGTGCCCCCTCCGTCCCACAGGCTCCCCCGCCCAGCGTGGCCCCTCCAGCCACAACCCCTGACCTCTTATCACACGATTATCACCCAATTCTGGGCAGTTTTCACATTGGCAAAAAAAAAAGACAGACCTGCGTTACAAAAAAAAAAAAAAAAAAATTTTATATATATATATTTATAGAACCATCAAGAATCATCCAAAAAAATAACTAAATAAAAAAAGAACGACAACAAAAAAATTTATAATAATAATAGAATGATTTTAAAAAAATAAAAGACAACCCTTGCGTGTCCTCAAATAAAAAGTGCAACCGGACCTTTTCTTTCTGTTTATTTAACTTTGCAAACTGAATACTGTTATTTGGGAAGGACTGTTGAAGAACAGCTGGGCTTCCTCCTCCCAGCCGCCGGGTGAAGAGTTAAAGCTATTCTGTAAACATCGGAGTTTCCTCCTCTCTGCAGTTTCACCCCCCCTCTTCCTCCTCGGCTTCATCGGCCCCCTTCTTCCCCCACCCCTCCCGACCCCCTGGATTTCGGCCACCCTCCCGCCCCGCCGCCCTGCCCCCCTCCCGCCAC